TTCGTTCGTTCATTCATTCATTCATTCGTTCATTCCTCATAACAAACACAGCAGATGATTTACCTTAAGGATGAAAAATACCGCTTTTATATGACCTTCAAAAGGAATCATTTCATTCATTCCTTTTTGCTCATCTCATATAATTACCGCCAGCCTCATTCACCTTTTCTTTCGTTTTTTTTTTTTTTTTGGAAATCCCTCTTGCATAACTCTCCTTCTAAATTCCGAAAAACAATGAACTAATTTCGAAACTTAATTAGGATAAATGAATGAATAAACAAATTTTTTTGAAAATTAATTAATAAAATTAGAATGAGGAAGGAACGGGCAAAGAGAGAAAGAGAAAGAGAGAGAAGGTAATAAAATGAACAAACTGTTGTTCAATGTTTATCTTTTGTATATTCTATTAAAAAAATGAAATTGTTTTAAAAATCAACAATTGTCTTAGAAATATTAAATTAATTAGGAGATTAAGAAAAGTGAAACATTTGGAGAAAAAAAAATTTTTTGATAATTTAACATTTAGTAAAATTCTTGCGTGCCATTTATGACATCTAACTTAAAAGCTTATAAGCGTTCAACACACGGTAATATTTATTGCTTATATGTCAGCAGATAATAAACTGAAATTCAATTTAAAAGAATCAAAATTCAGGAAATGAAACCAGAAATGATTGGTGCAGTACGGGCAGTTTCCGGTTATTTTTTCGATCCAATGCCATATCATCCGTACGCTAGTGGTCTAGACGGTACAAGACGTAAAAATGCGACACGTGAAACGACGGCACCACTCAAATCGTGGCTTAATGAGCATAGGAAAAATCCATATCCAACAAAAGCAGAAAAAATTATGCTTGCATTACTTACAAAAATGACTTTAACGCAGGTTAGTTCGAGCATTCATTCTCACTATTCCTTCAAATTTAATTTTTTGCTTATCAATTTAGAAATCACTCATCATCCAATAAAGAGATCATCTGTATTAGGCTTTTTTTTTGATAACTATTATCATTAGTGTTATCACTGAAATAATAAATGGTAACGTATCATTCATTTTTTTCAACGTACTTTACAAATAACTAAGCTATGATTTACGTATTATTGTCGAAATATTAAACAACTTTTCGGAACTTAATAAATGATACGCTTGAATGAGAAATAATTAAGAATTTCTATCATTCTTGTGAGATTTTGTATTGGGAACAACGGTGGTATATAAATGAGCTAAAATGAATGAAAGTAAAATTTCAAATAAAAATTCATTTACAAGATAAAATCTTATGAAAAGTCGAAATTATTGCAACAAATTTGAAAGCAGTTCAAATTCGAAATGAAAATAAATTTGTCATTCATTTATTATAATTCAGATGATATTTTATCTTTTAAGAATTTAGCAGTATTTTATTTGAAAATTCTATTCCTGTCATTATAATTTAATAGAGTATTTTGCAGCCAATTAATTTAAGAAATTTGTTACATATGTTTGATTTCATGAAATACTTAATTTTTTTTGCAATTGTAAATTAGCAAATTATTCATTTTTTAAGTATATAAAAGATTATTAGCAAATTATTTTCATATCTGTATAAGTTCTTTTCTGCTTATTCGATTTCTGGCAATAAATAAATAATGAAATGAAATTTGTAAGACGGAAAAAGCAGGAAAGATATGGTCGGGAATGTTGGAAGGAAAGAGATATTTTCCGGAAAAGCAATTTATTAGAAACAGTAAAAAAATTTTTTTTTTTTTGATTTTACGGTTTTATTTTTTTTAATTTGCACTCAAATTTCGATAATTTTTTGTATTTTTTAAATGAAACTTCAGAATTACTCATTGTAAACATTCGATCTTAAAAGATTTGAAATTTTTAGTAGGCTATTTAGAAGTCACGGTTTGCTGATTATTTGTGTAAATTATGGGCTGTGCTTCTTTGCTAATAAAATTTGAAAAATAATGCTTACATGTTGGGGGACAATAATATACTTTAGTATTCGAAT